TTATTTAATTATTTTTTTTTTTTGTGCAAAGTTGATTTAAATTAATTTATAGTATTAATTTATTTTATATATAATGTTAAATATACAATTTTAAAAGGCGTAAATCTTATTAAAAAAAAAATTAATATTTTAGGAGTATAAAAATAGACAATTTGTTAAATTCTTAGTGTACTTAAATTACTTATACTTATTAATTATATATTCCTTTTTTATTTTCTTTAATTTTTCAACATAAGTGTTCAATTTCTTTACTAGAAATTCGAATTTTTAACATGCAGTTCCATATTTTCCGCGCAGATTTTTCAAGAATTTTTCTCGCTTTAAATAAACATTGAAATTTAAGCTACCAATACAAAAATGTAAGAATGAAAGTGTTGCGCTAACAATTTTAATTTGCAATATTAATGAAATTTTTGAGAATCACATTAAATTAAAAATACTTGAAATCGCGCTGACGGCATATGTAAAGTCTTTGAAGTTGTTGTTGTTTTTTTTTTTTTTTTTTGTCATGAACCCTTGGCAATGTGGGCTTTAACGGTAAAGTCGTTTCTGTGGAAATATATATAGAGGAGGCGGACAAAAACACGTGTGTATATATGGCTCAGGATTGGCAACCAAATCGATCTGGAATGCGTCTGTCTCTAAGCTGATTATATATGCTTAAAGTCTTCCCAACTTGTATTTCTTGGATATTTCTATGCATAAATAATAAATTTTTATGTGTCATTTATTCAAACTATTTGTATTTAAGAGCCATTTGATTACATTGTACCAAAGCCAGCAGCGACACCTGATGTCATTTGCTTAGTATTCAAATGCTGCCTGAACTTAATGTTAATGATCCCTTAAGCATTTTGTTGCCTTCTGTTTGGCCTCGAATGTTTTCTAGTCTGGCTTGCATGGGCATCTAATTAAATAGATTGTTCTCTTGTTTTTTTTTCTTGTTTTTTTTTTTATGTTTATACGAATTTTTGCCGTGCTGCTGCCCTGTGCCCTGTGCTTTGTGCTTTGTGCTCTAAATGTGCTTTAATTATATTTTTTATTAAGGTCGGCYCTTCTTCTTCTTCTTGTTTAAAGCCAGAGGTTAAAGCTCTCTTGATTTGGTACATTTGTTTATTTTCATTATTTTGTCTCTCATGTTGGTTTATTTTTGTTAGCTTGTCGTAAATTTTATCACGTTGCGTGTAGACGATGTATTTAAGCTACAGCAGAAGAGGACTTTCCACTTGACTGCAACAGAGGAAAATTCAATATTTTCTTTGCGTAAAATTTAAGCCACAGGAGTTATGCGTGTGTGTGTGTGTGTGTGCTTGTGGCTTACATAACTGTCAGTTAATTAATGCAACAATGTGGCTGGCCGCTAGCAAGCGCTTAAAATTTAAATTAAGAGATCATCGCTTAATTAGTGGCCAGCGCTGCAATTACATTGATAGCGCGTGGAAAACTGCTTTGCTTTGCCTTGTCCATTTTCACAGTCGTTTATTCATTTATTTATATTCTGCATGGGCTTCAGTCCCAGCCTTTGTGAGCAGTTTAAATTTGCGAGAGGTGGAGAAAAAGAAGAGCGTAAATAAAGCGCAGACATTTGCCAAGGGCCAGGGGCTGCACGCGGCGAGCGCTAGTCGCGGCGCCACTTCAGGTACAGCCAGAAGTGGCAGTCAGCTAACAGAACAACACTTGAGCATGTAAAGAAGACGCCAAGGCGTCAACATTAACAAGTGAAACGAGATGAAGCCTGAGCAAGTCGACTAAGTGTTGCTCTTTAGTTGAAATGGAACAAAGCTGAGAGATAGAGAGAGATAGAGTGAGAGAAAGAGATAGAGTGAGAGAGAGAGAGAAAGAGAGAGAAGGAGAGAGTCAGAGTGAGAGAGAAGGACTGAGTGAGAGAGAAAAGGAGAGAGTCAGAGTGAGAGAGAGACTGAGTGAGAGAGAGAGAGAGAGAGAGAGAGACAGAGTGAGAGTGAGAGTGAGAGTGAGAGTGAGAGTGAGAGTGAGAGTAAGAATGAGAGTGAGAGTGAGAGTGAGAGTGAGAGTGAGAGTGAGAGTGAGAGAGAGAGAGAGAGAGAGAGAGACAGACAGAGAGATAGAATGAGAGAGTGAGAAAAGGAGCTCCTGAATTTGCCAGAGAATTCGCTATATATATTATATGTTAAATATAAAATATTTATAAATTCATTAGTCCCCTTTGAATTGCCAATTAAATATTTGCTTTTAATTATTTACTGTTTATTGAATTGAGCAATTAATGTTTTTTATTATATCATAAAATATTCATTTATGCAATTATGTTGCTTAACTTAATTTATTATTGACTTATTTATAATGTGAAAGTTAATTGAATCAAATAAATTGAGAAATAGTGTCAAATTGCTATTAATTTTTTAGAAATTAAAATAGCAAAAAAAAAAATTGGAATTAATTTGAATAATAATTAGCAAAGAAATAGGTTCTTTTATTGCAATAATTTGAATAATATTTTGAGGAAAAAAAAAAAAAAACAATATATTTAGCAGAAAACAAAAAAATATGAATTAATGTAAATAATATTTTGAGGCAAAAAAAGAAAGTACATAGTATGTATATATATATTTTGAGCCTTTTTATTAAAATTAGTAATTTGAATAATATTTTGAGCAGTAGTCAAAGTGGATGAATATTTCAATGGACTCCAGGCAGGGTTGCTTAGTAAATAAGGTCGCCTGCTGTTGGGAACTCATTGAGAGGCTCCGGCAAACAGCTTGGCAGGCAGTCAGGCGGCAGGCTGGCAGTGCTAGCTGAGCAGGAGGCGACAACAACAGCCGCAGCAGCAACAACAACAACATCAACAACGACAACTTACTTGAGAGTAGTGCATAATCATTTAACATAAAACGTTTTCGTGCTTTCATTTCTGCAGGCGCTCACCTACTGCGATCTGAAGTGCATACACATGGGCGGTCTGGTGGAGGTGCTGCGTCTCTATCCGGAATACCAGCAGCAGTTCGCGAATGACATACAGCACGATCTGACATTCAATTTGCGCGAAGGCTACGAGAATCAAGAATCGGATATTGGGCCCTCATTCCCATTGCCCAGCATCAGTGAGGATGACGAGAATCGGGAGGAGGGCGAGTGCAGCAACGAGCAGGATAAGGAGGGCGGCGCTGGTGGTGGAGGCTCTGGGGCTGGTCCCCTATCGTCGACATCGTCGCCACATCACAGCATCACGCGCTCACCGCTGCTGGGCATGAATAGTCCGCGTCATCAGCGCCTGCATCAGCGTGGTCGCTCCTTGATAACGCTGCGGGAGACGAACAAACGGCAGCGTCCTCTCAACATGGCCAGCAGTTTGGATCGCAATTCGTTCGAGGAGCTGGAGCCGCCCATTGAGGAGGAGTCGGCCGGCACGAAACGCCCCTCGCTGGAGCGCCTGGATTCGCAGGTCTCGACCCTGCATCAGGATGTCGCTCAGCTGAGCGTTGAGGTGCGCAATGCAATTAGCGCACTGCAGGAAATGGCATATTCATCCGCTGCCATCAGCTCGCACGGTGGCTCGCTCAAGTTTCCGCCGGCACGTTCCATACCCAACATCAGTGGCGTCGCTGCTGCGCGGGGCCTGGGCTTGGGCCTGGGCCTGGCCGCTGGCGATGCTCAGCTGATGGGCGGGCCACTGGCCTTGGGCCTGAGCGAGGCAGCGGCCATGCAGCGCTGCTCGTCGCATCCGCCGGAGGTGTGGGGCCGCGAAATGCAGCTGCCGGCCATGGCAACGGCGCCCAGCTCAAAGGCCGGCTCGCCGGCCAGCGTGGAGGCCGTGCAGAAAACGAGTCGCAGCTGCCAAACCGATTTCTATCGCATCGACTTTCCCACCTTTGAGCGCTTTGTGCTCGCCAATCCGCGGCTGGTCCTCGGTCTGCTGGGCATTGAGCCGGTCATTAAGAACGAAATCGAAATGCTGCAGCAGAAGCAAACGTTGCAAATCTCACCACTGAATACCATTGATGAATGCGTCTCGCCGCTGGCCACAGAGCCGGGCTTAGGCGGTTCCAAGGAACGGCTGTTGGGCAGCCAGGCGCCGTTGCCAGCGGCAGGAGCTGGCGGACGCGTTTATCCGCCGCTGGACGATGAGAATTCCAATGATTTTCGCTGGACGATGAAGCATTCAGCGAGCCATCAAAGCTGTTGCAAGAGCACCGATGCATTGCTAACGCCAGAGGAGCAAACAGCTGGACAGGAGCAGGAACAGCAGCAGCAGGTGCAGCAGCAACAGCAGCAGGTGCAACAGCAGCAGGCGCAGCAGCAGCAGCAACAGCAGCAGCAGCAGCGCTGTAAGCGCAGCATGCGTCGCAGCGGCAGCGGCGGCAGCAACTCCAGCCTCTCGAGCAGTAGCTCCAGCTCGAATTGCCTGGTCTCGCAGAGCACCGGCAATCTGACCACCACCAATGCATCGGTGCACTGCAGCAACAGCACGCACAGTGTGGCAAACACGCGACGCGCCTCCTGGAAGCTGCAGCATTCGCGCAGCGGCGAATACCGACGTCTGTCGGAGGCGAATGCCGAATACTCGCCGCCAGCCAAAGTGCCAGTGCCGGTGGCCAATGTGGCCATGGGCGTGCCAACGGCCAGCGTCGCCAGCTACGGCCTCGATGAGGAGGAGAGCGTGGAGCTCTTAGGTCCTAGACGTGGCTCACGCAGCATCATGGTCGATGTGGCCAGCGGCGTCAATGAGGCAGCCAATGGGATGGTTGGCGGCAAACAACGCAATCGTTTCCTGTTGGGCGTCAATCAGAGCCAGGGGCAAGGCCAGAGCCAGGGCCAGGGCCAGGGCCAGGGCCAGGGCCAGGGCCAGGGCCAGGGCCAGGGCCAGAGCCAGGGGCAGGCAATGAATTTCCGATTTTCTGCCGGCGATGCCGACAAATTGGAGAAGGGCCTACGCGGTTTGCCATCCACACGTTCGCTGCGCGATCCCAGCGTCAAGTAAATTCTAAAACTGGCAAACTGAGCTCTGTGTGCCTGTGTTTTGCCAGCTGCTGGCAATTTGTGTGGGGTTGGGTTACGCATGGAATATGGAGCAGGAGCAGGAGCAGGAGTAGCAGTAGAGTGAAGTGGGTTTTTGTGGTAGCCTCAAGGTTGCCAAACGTAGGCAGACGTGTGTGGATTCGTTTACATGCATGCCGACGTGCGTGATTTATTTCCTAATTAATACTGAAATACGAAGACGCTTGTACTTTTAATATCTATAAGATATCAACAGTAACACACACACACGCGCAGACATGCAGACAAATACAACTAACACTCACACACACACACATTGATTATTAATTTATTATACTGAAATTTTGCTCAATTGGGTTAATTTGTGCATAGAGCGTGTTATCGAATATCAATGATATAGACTTTTGGTAGAACGAAAAGAAAGAAATTTTCAACCTGTAAATATATGTATATTAAAAATGTTTTCTTAAAGCTTTCATATACTTTTCTACAAAGCTTTGACTAGAAGCATATCTATTTTGAAGTACATGAAATACCGATGGGCTTTAATGTACTTGATTTTAGTTTCAATGTAGACAGGCTAACAAATTTGAACTTCAAAAGTTCATTAAAGCTCAAAGACACACTTATGTATATGAAAATATTCATAAGTATTTGATCGATTTAGTTTGTAATCGGAAAGCGCATTTCATGGCATTATTTTAAAATATTTCGACATTTCTAAAAGCTTTTAAAGCACATTAGTGTTATAGATAAGCTATTGGTATCGATGCTAAAAGCTTAAAGATTATAAAATATAAATAGCTGTAAAAAACACACAAAAATTTGAAATGCTTGAACTAATATCAAGTATAATTGAAATGCATAAACTTTCTCTTTTCGCTCTTCAAAAAGATTAATCCACTTATTAAGTAGCATTTCAGTTAAAGGTTAGCCTTTTTCATTTACAGTAAGTTTATTTATTAATTAAACTTAAAAAATAAATTATACAATGCATATTTATTCGTAGCATATCAGATTTAATGATTTATGAAGAAAACATAATCTATACTTTTATTTTTATTTTTTTTAAATTTAAGATTTAAGCTTAACAATTAACATTAATCAAGTGAATGTGAGGCTGTCAATAGGAAGTGCAAAGATGAAAAGTTGAACAAATGTTGAAGTATTGTACTCTACTAAAACTACAGTATATATGTATATATAAATATATTTTACTAAATGGCAGACAATGCATTTGAAAGCGAACAGACATACCATAAATATATAAATATTTAATATATTCAAACAGCAAAATATTGTATGGATGTTAAATGTCACATATAATCTGTGTGTATTGAAATACCTATTTTGATGTACAGAAATAAATAAAATTTGTCAGGTTACAACTCTGAGATTGGCTAGTACAAAATATCAGAGAATTCAAATATCAGAGAAAATATGAAAATATTGGAGTTGTTGATCAATTGTGAAATGTTTAATGCTCAATAAAACGTTTATGAA